GGTGCCTAGCAGAGCGTCTGTCTGTGTGTCGTTGGTATGATGTCCCTCTTTCCAAGAAGAGGCCACTGCTGCTGCTGTTGTTGCTAAACAAAACTAAACAAGAAGCGGTGACCCAACCAAACGCTTCTTCTTCTCTGCTATCGCTTCCTCCGCCGAAAGCGAACAGCTGTATAGTAAGGGAACACCCTCCAGCCTCGCTCTCCCGGTGGTGTGTGATGTTTCTCCCTCCCCCTTTGACCATGTCTGTGGCTCCGTGTGTGGTGTCTTGCTTGCGAGCCTGAATCCCACAGCCCGCTGCCGCTCTCCTTCGCAAGCAAAAAAACGAGACCAACAACCAAACGTGTGTCTCTCTCTCCTCTCACTTCCCCCGCCGATAGCTAACAGCAGCATTAGTAAGGCACACCCTGCTCCCGTCGTCCCGCCCTCGCTGTTGTGTGTGTCTCCCTCCCCCCTTGACCATATCTGACTCTCCGGGTGGTGGTGTCTTGCGTGTCTACACGTACATCTGGTCCAAAGAAGCCCCCTCCTCGGTCTCGGGGACGCGTCAATGCGACAGTTACTGTGTTCGGCATAGATGCTGTGCTATCTCGATGCACTGAGCACGGATTGAGCGGGAAGTAGTTGCGACAGCTCGGGCAACATGTTACTGTTGTGCTGAAGTTTTTAATTGCAATCTGGTGCCGAGGTGGTGAAATGTGCTGGAGTCGGCTGGGTATATATCGAGCCTGGTCATCGTCAGACAGACGGACGGACGATAATCGTCCGTTTCCCCCCCCGCTGGTGTGAGTTTTTTTATTTATTTACCCAGTTTTGGGCGCACATGCATACGATCCCTCTACACATCCAGATTTTTTCTTGCAAAACAAAAAGCACCCCCACCGGGCCTCTTCAAAAACACTATATATATTTTTTTTATCACGTGTCGCACATGTTCGAATCTTATCGTTTGTTCCCCGATCTATCGTTGGGTAAACAGTCTGCGAGTACTTGACGCTGGTCCACTCTTCTTCCATTGGTTGAGACGGACGCCCGTTTGCATCACTTCACCCTAGACAAAGACGACCGTGCTATTTATTATCAAATTGGCCAGGGATAGGTACAGGGACACACCTACCTACTTCATTTCCAGCTTTGCCATTGCCCGGTGGTGCATGGCATGGCTTGCATCGTTGTGGCCTACGAGGAAAATACGCTTTGAAGCACGAAATACAAAATACCCTTGTCCTTGGCGGATGTGGTCGGTCGTTGTTTTCGTGCTCATTTCGAAAATCCCATATTATATGTAGTCTAGGGGCCTATGTACCCCCACGGTTCCTTGGTTAAGGTCTTTCTGTGCACATTCTGCATAGGGCTTGCGCAGGGCTGATATGCCCATCATGGATCAGATTTGAGGTGTGGATTGACAATTTTGTCATATACGAGGTGTTCGGAGAAAATTGCCCTGGGTTTGCAGCCAACTGTTTCAACGTACAGATTGTTCTGCGTCCAACTTCTGCCGTACGTTTGGCTCGATCGGTCAGCACTCAACTGGTTTGGGGCTCTACATTTTAGTACCTTTTTCCATGGAACGCTTCATGGAAGTCCATTGGCTTCCATGGAACTACATGAAACATTCCATGAAATTTCATGGACTTTCATGGAACTCCACGAACTTCTATGGAATGAAATGGGATGAAATGGAAGCGCTTGGAGTCCTACGGACGTTCATGACGATTTTCGCGAACATTCGTGAATAGTTCCATGGATGTCCATGGCAGTTTGGAATAAAGTGGAAGTGCTTGGAATCCCATGGAAGTTCATGACGATTTTCACGAACGTTCGTGACTAGTTCCATGGATGTCCATGGCATTATTGTCATGAAGCATTCCATGCAATACGTGTCGCGAAACATTTCATGAAAACATTTCATGGACATTCATGACATGCACCATGAAGGTTCACGGAATGTTTCATGGAACGTGGTCAATGGACATCCATGAAATGTTGCATGGCCGCTCGTGGAGTTCCCATGAGAAAAATATGATGGTATTCCATGTATTCCATGTAACGGCATGGGATCCCATGCAATTATTTCAGACTGTTTCATAGACATTGATGAACGTTCATTCACGGATGTGCCCAGGAGGAGGATGTTGGTTCGTCCAACACCGTCAAGGCTATTGGTTCGGCATTTTGGCTTCATTGGAATATTGATCGGACGCCCATTAAATGTTGCATAGACGTCCATCGTGAAACGTTTCATGGACTTCCACGGACTTCCATGGACATCGTGTCATGGACGTCCATGGAATTTAATGAAACTATTTGTTGCTTTCACGGAACTTTCATGGCCTTCCTTTCATGAAAGTTTCATTGATATCCATGGACCTTCCACGGACTTTCATGGAACGTTCCACAGACGTCCATGGAAGTCCATGGACTTCCATGAAACATTCCATCAAACGTATAATGTAGATGACTGATTGGTTTGGCGCATGGAGATAACGTGATCAGAGGGTAGCAGATACAGCAGTAAGAGTACGGTGTGAGTACTAGGAGCACGCCGACAGAGTCGCACAACAATGTGAAGCAACCGAATACGTGGAGCAGAGAGAAATGAACACGCGTTCATAAACAGCTTGACAGTGACATTGAGTAGACACGAATAATCAAGACGAGATGGCAAACACGCGGATAAAAGAAATTGTACCCACATAGTTTTCAACGCAGACGGGCACCCGCGCCTACGTTCCATCCTGTACTGCAGGGGACGCTCACGTTCGAGGGAGACGCCACTTTTGAAAGGAACAAATCCCGCACCGAGGAAAGCAACGACGACGGGAAGGCAGGGGCAATCTCCAACACCAGCTCGGGCACCATTTTATTCAAGAGCAAGCTAACAATGAATGAAAACGACACCGACGTGAGTTTGCGCGAGTTTTAGGAGGGGGTGATGTTCGCCTGGTAAGATGTGATGATCTTCGCGCATGTATTGTGTTCTAGGCGTGACGGTCTGCACTGACGACCTGATCGGTTCCCTTGTACAGCTGGGACAATCAGCGCTTCGTGTGCACGCGCACCGAAGAGTACGGGGTATCAGAGAGTTGGCGTTGATGCGAGACGCGCTCGAGTCAGGCGTGAGGGGAGAGCTGTCTGATTCAATATCGAAATATGACGAGGGTGGGTGTAAGCATGCGTCACACTTGTAAAGTGCCATCAGTGCGTTTCGGGTGAGTTTCTCTCATGATATCATGGCACATAGCATCAGTGCATAAAGACCACGGCATCACACGAAACCTCCATTAGAAACCAATTCATGCACGAAGCCCTCTGAGACCTGAAACGCACGGTGAGTTTCCGAAAACCTCGGTGAACCGGTCGGTTTCTGGCATGTGTTCCATCTGTAGAAGCCTGAATCTGGACTGAACCCATCCAGACCCACCCATAACCTCTGACCTTGTAAATCGGCGGCGGCCGTGTGTGTCACAGGGGCAGTATGGTGGTTTGGGTGGAGCGATATACAACCGCGGAGAAATCACCGTGGAGGGCGAGAGCCTTTTCTCCGAGAACAGGTCCTCGGTAAGTTGTCGTTCTTTTTTCTTCTTCCGCTGCTGTCGGCGTTGTTAAAGGAGCTATTCGTTGAACAATGTGCAGGACGCAAGGAATCATGCTCTTCTTCTTGCTCCAGCGAAGTATCTTCCTGGCCTGTGTGTTCTGCACCACACAAAGCACACAGCACTGTGAAACGCTAATCGCGGCGGCGGTTGTTGCTTTCTCCTTGGTCGTCTTGAGCAGGACGGCGGAGGGATCTACCAGACATCTATTGGCATCATGACGTTCAACAGCATGGCCACTTTCTTCCATAACGTTGCCGAAAATGTAAGAAGTTTCACAAGCTCGCAGTCGTCGTCCCAGTGTGGTTTGTTGAGCTTCGACACGGGCTCCTTGTGGTGTTCCGAGGGATGAACGTAAAACCCTCATCTGTGTTTTCAAGCGTAGTACTTTTATTTTTCTGTGTCAAACTGAGAAGGTGTCCAGCATCCACTTAAAATGTCTTGCTGTGGCGGTGCTGCCGGTAGTCCTCTCACATAGGCCAAGTCCACAAGACCTTTTGGACCTGCGGGATGGAAAGAAAAGCTGACCAGACTCAACCCAGTCGATGCGCTTGGCAGAAAAATTATAGCCAATTTGTATTGGAGTTGTGTTCCCAGTTCAAAACTAACCAAATATCAAATGTTACTGACGAATCGCTGGGTAGGTAATCTCTCACGCCCGGCACTGATGTTGAGTTCCTCTCGCGAAAGACTTTAGGTTCCTGGTTCTTGGTTTGACACCAGTCGCGACTCAAGATAACGTGGTATGTGGTCCAGCCCTCCGGCCGTCTTATGATAAACATATCTTGCGGTGTGTCCTGCTGCTTACTTACCCCATGCATGACCAACGACAACAGCTGCGCGGTGGCGGTCTGATGAACGATGGTGGTGTCGTCAACATCAACGCCGGTAGTCTCTTTGAGCAAAACTTTGCCGCGGCAAACGCTGACGGTGGACGCGGTGGAGCAATTCACAACAGAAATGGAGGGGTGGTGACGTGAGTGACAGCGACGCCATGCGTATTTAGTTATGTTATGTAGGTGTTTTTCCCAGGGAACGGACAGGTCGAATGCCGCGGATCGAATCGGATACCGACCAACGTTTATCCACTTAGACTCATTGCTTGTGCTGGCCCTCGACGTTTCGAACGCTTCCTGACGTCACCTCACCGGCGACGTCTTCGAACAGCCCGTCATTATCGAGTAAATTTGGCTCCATATCTATGTGACCTGTGTGTCAACCCACTCGCCCTATGGGACATGTCGATGGTTTGGTTCCCTGACGTGCAGAGGTTGGAAATTAAGCCTGCAACCGTGTTTGTTGTGTTCGTGTGTGACATTCAGCCACAGCCAAGGCGATGACTTGAACGAAACATGCGGGTCAGAATATTCCTCCGACGCTAGTCACGCTACCAATCCACGAGAGGGGGGCTCAAAACTAGTAATGGTGCATTCTTTGCACATGTGCATGTGTCACTGGTCGTTTTTTTTCCGAGTGTCGCCAATCCCGTCTTACGTAGATAATGGTGGGGCAGAGAACATACTCGCCGTCAACCGCAAAGAAAGGTCGGGGGGGTTCCGTTAGTGGGGCAAGCGTGTTGTTTGTTGCCTGAACCAATAACCTAACCTAGCCTGGTACGAGAATCAGTGCTAACCTGATATCCTGGTAAGGTAGGTTTGGCCCACGGAAAAGCCCTGTTTTGGTACATTTCCGTTAGAACGTGTGGTTTGACGATTCATTATTCACGGGTGACCAAACTACGGGTGACCAATATACCGCAGGTGACATAGTTTATCACGCCCCGTGAACCGATTTTCAAAGCTCGATTACCCCCTCACCAAAAAGCGTGGTGGGGCAGAAAATATCGACGATGGAAGCATGTCGTCGAGAGCGTTCCGAGCACACATCAGTTGGCTATCGTACCCTCTTCCTTGAGGAGTACTCGAGCTTTGAAATTCGGGCTATCGTACCCTCTTCCTTGAGGAGTACTCGAGCTTTGAAATTCGGTCCAAGGGGGTGTGATATCATGTGTCATGTCAACTACGGTAGCGTATCGTGTGTCATCCTTCTGTGGAGATCCAGTCTTTGCTGTCTCGTTTTTCTAAGGCACGCTAATCACTTCACGTTGCTGCCGTACAGACCCTGCCCCATTTCGCACTTCTTGCGAACGTGTCGGCTCTGTCGCACCCAACGTCGGTTGTTCGTGCGTCTGTCTCTTGTGAACGAGTTCATCCCGGTCTCACATTTTCCAATGTTCAAGGCTACCCTTGTTCCCTTCGATGCTTCGTGCTCTCTACGGCATGTGCTTTCCTAGGTTGATGGGGCCAACAACGTTTAGAGAGAACGGGGCCTGGTGGGGTGGAGCAATTTATACCGACGATGGCTATCCCGCGTCCGTTACCACGTTCCCCGATGACACGGTGTTCGAAGACAACAGCGCGGACGCGGTGAGAATATTATTGCTGGCACCCTTGTGTATTCGTTTCTCCCGGGGCATACAGACGACATGAAGCACCCTACACCTGCGAACACCGCGGAGGGGGTGGAGGCAGATGGTACCGGTTGTCTTGATGGTGTGGGTAGTAAGATATTCGCACATGGCAATACAAACGCGATTCGCCCGAACGAACACGACACCCGACGGATGGACCATTTGGGGTCTCTCTCTGGTACGTGCAAACCCCCCTATTTCGATTTTGAATTGCCGAAAGCTGTGTAGCTCTGATGAAGACCGCTATTAGGTCTATGTAGTTCGGGAATTGCAGCCCGGATAGGTCGTGTCAGTTTGGCACCAATTCAATAACCAAAGCAAAACAATTACGTAAGCACATTTTCCCATCAGGGGGGAGCAAGGCACGAACTGAACAACTTTCGATCCGCCCGCATCGACCCCGCGTTCGTTTGGAACCCATCTTCTTCAAACCAGTACTGCCCGGATGTGCACAACGGTGACGACAACAACTGCCCGGTAGTGTAAACCACCAACCAGCTGGTGATGGGCGAGCATCAGGATGAAGAGTTGTTGAGCAACAAGAGTTGTTGTGGTGTCGGGGGATCTTGTGATGTCGTGAGTTTTTCCCCACCGTTCGAAGGTGATCGCCTGCGATTGAGGCTTCGTGTAATAATCCCCCCATGCTTAGAATGCAACGTGTCACAGCAAGCAGGACGCGGGGGAGGAGGTTCGGATCGAAGAAAGATGTGTTATATGCGCAGCGGCGTTGTGCATGTTTTTAGAAAGTAAACATAACCTCACAGAAAGACTATCCGTTCGAGACATAACCTCAGTCGAAAGGGACGTGGTGAAGTCTTTGCATGTTGTTGCCCGCAAACGGGTAGTTTCAGTAGTGGTACGACACCGTCAAAAGATTCCAGGTGTGAGGTGCGGCATGCGCATGTCTTCCGACCACTCCACAAGATATGACTCGTGACGTGGCACAAGCTAGTTTGTCTGGAGGGGGTGAGGTTTCAACATCCTCGGCGAAGGCACTAGAAGAGCAGAGGGGTAATTCCTGCAATATGGACGGCACAGATGCGGAGTAGCCGAAATGGTAAAGTCCTTACTTACTATTGATGTCATTGGTTAGAGCGACGCACATGTAGTATCGTTGTAAGTCAAGCGCCAATGTATCATGTGTGTCTCCGCAAACCGAAGCAGGAGAGGCTGAACGACACTCAACCGTAGAGATATCACGCGGTGATAACATAGTAGGAGACACAAGTCATTCTCCCATGTTGTACATGTACACCTATCTATGCAAGTTGTCACATACGCTACGTAAATTTCGTGACAAGCTCCCAAGAGTATGGTGTTGCAGCAACCCTTGCCAGGAACAACGCCGTCTCTCCGCATGCCAGCCACGTGTGTGTCTGAACACGGGCGATTGGTCGACGTTGCTGGGTTTGTGTGGTTCCATGGTTTCGAGGCTGAAGCAAGTGCCAAGCACGCGCACTGGCCCCGTCTGATTATTCCCCGAATTCGCCTTGCCAGCTGCAATTTGGAGGCCCAGCTCCCAGCGGGAATAATTGGCTGGGATTTTGGGTTTTACAGGTTTGAGGCCACGACAACATTTTTTTTCTGTTTCTCCCATCATTTGACTCTGTCGTCTTCCCCTCTGGCCCCCATCCTCCACTTCTACTAGCTAGACGACCCAACCGAGGTCACGTAGGAGGGGGGGGTTAGACCCCTCCTGCGGTTCCTGCCTGAGATATTTTTTATCGCGAGAAGGGTACAGCAATCCCCTCCCTCGCGACTTATGAAGTCGTTCTAGCTTACTAACCACAACGAGTTTTGCAACGCGCCGCTTCCAACTTAGACCAGGATTTATATAGCGAGGAAAAGAACTCACTTTGCCGGGACTCGAACCCATGACCTGGCCCTTATAAGGCTGCGAAGGTACCCACTAGACCACCGGGGCGACCGGTGTGAGGTACATACACAGACCTCCCGCTTCAACAGTAGCATGGATTGAAGCAGCCAGAAGCAGTGCGTGACGGAGCGACACACAGCGACATATCGAGGGACTCTTGATTGGGGGCAAAGCCAAGCCACGCTTCAAATCTCTCAAACCTTTCACACCTTCGACGCCTGACTACAGTACACACACGTGGCCAGTGTGCTCTTGCACAGGGTCCCGTCCCAGAACACCCTGTGGCACCGTAACCACCTTGCTTGCCAGTTTAATATGGTCAATGCCAATGTACCCTGTACATGATCATGGGTCCTACCCTGTACATGACCATGGGTAGAACCCTGGGCAGGGTTACATGACTCCACCCTGCACATGTTTGTTATGAATTGACCCTGTGGCGCCGTCACCAGGTTGCCAGCGTAATAAGGTCAACGGAGTCGTACCCTGTACATGATCGTGGGTAGAACCCTGGGCAGAGTTAATGACTTGACCCTGCACATGCTTGTTATGAATTGACCCTGTGGCGCTGTAACCATGTTGCTAGCTTCAAGAGGTCATCATCGCAGACTACCGTGTATATGAGCATGTGAAAAAAAGTCCTGGGCAATGTGACGGTGGACTCTTTCCGCGCAGCAGCACTATCGTGTGCTATCCTATTCTTAGCCGTTCACAGGGAAAAAGTCGACGGAAAAATTAACACAAGACCATCACTTCAAACCAGCCAAGGGAGAATCCCCTACGCGTATCCCCCCGCCCCTCATATCCTAACATGTGATGCAACAAATGACAACAGATGACGCGAAAGAAAAACATGAAAGCAACAGAGGAGCCTGCGCCCCACCCAAGAACATCAGCTCATACTACAATGTGCCACGGGCTATGATTTGACAACAAAGAGCTACAACAGAAAAAACCTATACCGAGTTCTCCCCCCGCCCTCAATCGAAACCATTCTTTCCGCCAATAGGAACCGTCCACATCCGCCACCTTACGGTGGACATCTTTCGCGCAACAACGGCAATACAACTTTTAGCTATCCTTACAAAGCGATAGAGAAAACTCGATGCAACAAGCAAATGACCAGACATCATGTTAGATATCTCGACAAAGAAAAATCTCCAACGCGGACCCCCCCCCCTCCCCCCCCGCATATCACAAAATGCGACGCAATGAACGAGAGCAAGAGGCTAGCCTTTCTCCCATTCAAAAACACACCAGGCCACACTGGACCTGCCACCGAATATCTATGAAATGACGAACACAGCTAGGAATAAAGTACCGAGTTTTTCGGGGTCTCTCAACCGAAAACACTCCGTTCATGAACCGAGGACCTTACGCCCCCCTCCAAAGCACATCAGCCAACACTACAAACTCAAATACTGCGACACAGATGGCAAACGTTCACACAGCAACACACGCTAAAATGCGATAATGGTTGAGCACAGATTATGGCGAGGACGCCGCCGCTGGTTGCATGCCCCATTGGTACAACAATTACAACAGGCAACAAAATTAATACTGAGACTACCCACAGACCGATCCCGAGTGCGTACACTGCTTCAAATAAAGGAAACGTCCAACAAATACGCGTCGCGACGACGCATGAACTTGCCTACCCCGTTATCTCGTTGCCGCTGCAACCCGAGCCAATCAGCCCCCGTGCACGCACCGTTCCCACACCGCAACATCTGCCGTTCGATCTTCGATCGTACTCCTCTACCTCGCCCCCATTTACCCACGTATGTATATAGGCAAGATTTCCTCATGTGTTTCCGCGATGCTGCGGCCTGCCTGCTCCTGCTCCTTCCGAACGGTGGCCTGCTGTGCGGCAGCCAGCTCACGATCTGCGTGCGACAGAAACAAAGACATAAATCACATCTCTTGACGCACGTACTCATCGAACACACATCAAAGTCCCAAAAACAGCAGTATTAGCAGCAGCAAGCGAGCATTTACGGGCACGTGACTGTGCAGAATAGAGCGGAAAACTGCAAGGTTTTCCCTTGCAAAAAAAAAAGGTGGATATATCAACACATCAAACATGTCAGCACGAGTCGCGGGGATCAAGAAAACTCACACTTCATCCTAACGCAAATGCAACTTCAGGGCGGAGTGCACCCAGGGGAACAACAAAGGGAAATGGACAAAAAGTGGGTATACCCACGCCATTCTCGGACGAAAGTGGGTACTCGAAAATCCAGCACGCGCGCACTCCATAGGCGACCCCCAAACGACTCAAAACCCCATTCTGACACCTGGGCGACACAGCCAGGGACCATACACAGCACGGGCATCGATTTTTTCCCACTTTCAGACACACCTTTGGCCCTAATACCGCCGAGGCGCGCAAGACCTCACCAGAGTGCCCACTTCTGTCCGACATCGCGTTGGGTATACCCAGCGGCGTCAATTTTTCATGCACCTACTTGTGTCTATATTTTGACCCACTTTTGTCCACTTACGGACAGCGGAAATCGAGCGGAAATCGAGCGGAAAACGACCTCCACGTCACCGCACGGCATATATATTCACATCGATCCGCGCGGCTGCGGACTTTCAACAAAAACAATCCAGAAAATCCAAAATCGTTGAAAAATAAGGTCGCGCCGACCTGCCGCGCATCCTGTTTTGGTACAGCGAATACGAGTTCTCTTTTTGCATGTTTTTGTATCACCCCTTGCCGCGGCGCTCTCTTTACCCACTCCGGAGGGATGCCTACAGTAAGGTACACGGAAATAAAATGGACCCGAAGGGTCCGCAAGTCAATAGAAATCAACGACAAAAAGTCCAGGACACTCCGCTCGCCTCTACACGCTATGAGAGGTAACCAGAGACTGAAAAAAAAAAAAAAAAAAAAGAAAAAGAGAAAGAAGACTATGAGATGGATTCGTTGGGTCATATTGATGAAATAACAAATAAAAAAAGGGCGCGCCAGCACATCAAGTGCCCGACGGTGTGATGAGACAAGGTCTGGATGGAGCAGGCAAGTCGTCCGGGCATAACAACACGAAGACATTCCTAAATCATCTGGATTCGTAGCCATGGGAGAAGACCCCAACGCCTCCAAGAAGAGACTCTGCAGGGAGAGCCCAGGTCATGGCCAGCTCGTCATGATGGCAGCCAAAACTGAAGCGGGCCAATCATCGCGAGATAGATCTGGTATCCCACACACACATAAACTGGGTCTACTATGCATAGGTCTAAATATTGCTCACCGATGAAGCCGATGCAAGAGTGAAGCTTAACTCTGTTGAATCACTCCCAACGCCCGCCATCATAGCTGCAGTCTGAGCGTAGTGAAGAGAGATGTGGCGAGGAAGGCAGGGAGAAAAAGGCCTGCGTGGGACGGGGGTTTTCTATACGTTTTCCATCTCGGGGTAAACTCGCCGCATGACTCACGGAACCCCCTTTGGTTTTTTTTTTGAATTTTTTAACTTTTGAATTTTTGAAGTCGGCCCCACTCACACCACCCGCCCCCGCAGCCAGCGCCGCGATGGCTTGCCTGTTGAGCTCTGCGTCTTGCGCGGCCTCGGCCTTGGTGTCTACTGTCCTACAGTTCGTTTCCCGGTTCATGCGCGTCAGCCCTTTGTTCCACACAGTCGTCAAAACATTGGATCGGGGCAAGACCAAGGTGGGTTTATTGCTGTATTAGTCTAGTTTCTTTCCTAATATTTTGGTGGACGTTCTACCAGGGAGGGGTCTTGCGACTTCTGCCGCCCCGCTCGGTAGACGATCCCAAGAAACGCCATAATTGGCACATACTTTATAGCCAGGTGCGGCCCGGACACGAAATACACGTGACGCAAGTACATGTGAAAATATAGCCCGAGAAAGCTGGGTGCCGTGCGCCTCGAAGATGCACACATACCCGAAAAAAGAGTTATTATTTAGGGTAGACCGCACATCATCGGCGGCTCTGTGGATACCTACGCTGTACCAAACGTAGATATTGGACCAGTGTACGTAGTAGGTATGTATCCTCAACAAAGAGACGATATCATCATTTTAGATTAAAGGCACCCTGGTGTGATCTCTCCGACCGGTGCGATGCCCAATGAAATACACACAGAGGTGGAGAGAAATCACTGGTCGGGGAGATGGTATCGGGACAATACCGCCGATGTAGTAGGAAGGCCTCCGTGAGTATTTCATTGGGCATCGCACCCTTCGGAGAGATCACACACAGGCACCCCGGTTTGATCTCTCCGACCGGTGCGATGCCCAATGAAATACACGCAGAGGTGGAGAGAGAGCACCGGTCGGGGGGATGGTATCAGGGTGTGTGTGTGCTTACAACACATATATATACAACACCGTCGTAGCAGTATAGGAAGGCCGCCGTCAGTATTTCATCGGGCATCGCACCCGTCGGAGAGATCGCACCGACCGGGGGTGCCTTGAAAAAGCTGTAAATGAAATTGCTATTATTTGTTTGCATATTTTCACCGGACGGGGTCGGAGGGATTGCAGGGTCGAAGAGACCGCACCGGGGTGCGGGGGGTGCGACAAAAAAAACGAAAAAAAAAAAGTTGAAGATAACGATCGCTATAATACTACCACCGTTTTCGTCGAGAGGCCAAGCTGGTTTAACGGGCGACTGCGGGTTGATTGGAACAAAGAAGACGTCCATAAGATAACTGTAGCGTCGCAAAGAAGCAGGAGAAATTCCTACATGGATGGGGCAGGAAGGGCGCATCGCTGCACATATATATGCGTACCTTTTGTATCGTTAGGTTTTGGTTTCATTTCTCCTTTGATTTTTTCCCGCGAAACAATGGCGTCGTTCTGTGTCGAACATCGAAACAACCAAAACACGGCGCTTTTTGCACCGCGCAGGTTCCTCGAGGTACTCCTTATCTTGCGCCATGGGCGGTTGAGAGCGATCTGATCGTGAGGGTACTGGCTCTTAATCCTGGCGGGGTGAGGGGGAGCTACTCGAACGGTCTAGACACAATTGTTTCGTTTTTCCGAGTGTATGAGCCGTAACAATCAGACCCGTTGATGGAGCAATGAAAATGCATGGTGCGTGGAATTTAATATGCTTAGCATTGTGTTGCTCGTGGATTGCGCGTGGTATTTAGGTGAGTCTACGTGCGAACATGACGGTCGTGATTGTATGGTGTCTCCATCTTCCTCTCGTTTCCCGGTTGTTGTGACCAGGGCATATTCTTGTCCACAGCTGACTAGTGCGCCAGAGGGTGTGCTTCGTTCGGGTCAAGCTTGAACCAATTTGGTCGCCCGTTTCGTTGGTTGTCTGTCTCGCAGCACACCTTGCAAGGTACGAACTGTTATCTAGTCGGCAACGGCGCGCGGCGAATCCTGATCGATACAGGGGAGGGAAAAGCTGGGTTTGTCCCCCATCTCCTGGTGAGGCGCACGACATGTGCGCGCATACAACATTGACTATCCTATTTGTGGCAGGACACTGTTGCGTAGCTGGTGCTTACCGTCAGAGGCTGTGGGAAGGTTGACTCAAGACCTTTGAGTAGTAACGAGTGACAAGCAGGGCAAGCAAGCCCTGCATCTAGAAGGGGCTCCGCCCTTCCAGTAACACATAACAACATGATAAACCTCGATCTCCTAGATCCGTATCTACAGTAGTGCTGAGTAATCCAACAGATATTCCATCTTCTCGCCCCTTATTCATGTTATGAAGTCGGGCTACAGTAGATACTCGTCCTGCGGAATACCCGTCTACGATGTCGTGCCGATCCGGGGCTGGTGACGGTGACGGCATGTGCAGTTTATCGCGACCAACATCATACAATGGAACCTTCCCATGCTTTGCTGACCGACCCAAAAACCAGGATGTGATGAAACAAGCAGGATGCGAGATGCTGGACGCTATCTTGTTGACACATTGGCACGCTGACCACGTGGGGGGTGTCAGCGAAATCCGCAAGGCGCTTGGTGGAAACATTTCCGTCTTCAAGAAGGTAGAAATTCCGCGTTGACGGCATCACCTTTGCGCGCCCAAAACCGATAGTTTACCTTTTCCAAATGATGTACCACTCACCTCTGGTAGACCACGAGTTACCCCTGTTCCCGCACACAGTTTCGCTATTGTACCATGGTTGGAGCTTCTTATCCTACCACCACGTATGATGACACAAGTCCGAGAGTCTGCTGGCGTATCAGGACAGCAGAAAATAGGTCTTGAACGTTGACAACGCCCACAGTCACCAACCACCTCAAACGGTAAGGCTTTACGAAGCCTGGCCGTTGGACAAAGTCTGGCCGTTGGAGGTGTTGAGTGACTGGTGTGGGCGTAGTTACACCAACGGATATTATCTCCACACCGGTAGCCGCGCCATTTCGTTGAACTCGTGCCATGGGTTCGTGCGGGCACCGTCGATAAACTCTCCACTCCCACACTGTCAAAAGGTACTGTAAGTTGATTGTCAACCCAGCAATGGGGTGACTCCTCTTGAGACGACGACAAAAGGTGTGGCGCCTGGCTCACAAAACACGTTCCTGATGGTGGTTTGGTCTGCCTACCCACCCCAATGCGATCCTTCGCCCGCAGTTCTGCCCTCGAGTGCAAGATTTCGACTACTCAATCATCGGGGAAGGTCAACTGTTTCGAACAACCGGAGCCACCCTTGAAGCGGTGTCCACCCCGGGACACACCGAAGACCACGTCTCGCTTGTTCTTCATGAAGAAAAGGTGAGAGCTCTGTGATGGTTTGGCAACCGTGTACTGTGTGCGAAGCCAACAACACAAACGTTCTCGTGGATACAAGCAATCTGTATGCTATCTGCATGGGGGTGAAAAAAGGTTTTTGTTTGTGGCGTTGGGGTTGGTGTGGTGAAGCGGGAAGACGTTTTTTTGAGCGAAGACAGTCGATCACTGCCAGTGTTAACCGTTGTGCCTGTCTCCGCAATACGCTCAAAGCCGCCGGGCGCGAGTCTCCACCGTGGGTTTGAGACCCATACTGCGGGCCCTCTCTTTCTTGTACTGTGTTGGGTACGAAAGCATGTTGGTGACCGCCTAGTTGTGCTTTATCCCGTTTCACTTCGACATTGCCGCGATTGTTCCACACTGACAGGCCCTGATAGCCGGCGACCTGCTTCTTGGGTGTGGCACGGCTATTTTCGACGACTTCACCTCTTACATGGATTCACTGCAGAGAGTTCGCGACATGAGCCGGAAATACGAAGGAGGCTTCACGAGGTACGTCATGGCCATAGGCATGTCCGTTTCATGCCGTGGAGGCTGTTTGCTCTTGACAACGCGACCGATCCTTGGTTACTCGGTTCACGATACCAATGATGAACAAACCCTCCTCAGCTTGTTGGAGTAGGCCTCGACGTACGCGGAGTACAGACAGGGGCATAATTGTGGTGTCAACTCTCTTGGTGATGTATGTCGGCTGGATGCCGGCGATGTGGCGCACAGATCCAGGCGAACGTTGCCTGGAGGGTAGGTGGCACTTGACACGTGGTGGAAGACACATGGTACTGTAGTCACAATTTAGTCTATAGTCCGTGCCACCACGAACGTCGGAGGTAAGAATTTCAGCCTGAACATAAAAAATGATGGGGCTCGACCATAAACGGTGCTCACCTTATATCCTACTCTAGAACCTAGGTAGTCTGTGCTGGTTTACGCCACAGTGAGACTAAGCGGCGAGCCTCGCGCTAAATAAATGGTTCTCATGGGGTGGCACGTACTCTGTATGTGATGTATAAACAGGTTTTGTTCCCGGCCCGAAGGTGTACTTTTAACGTGTGTGTCGAACAACACGCTCCTTTCCTTACTTCACATGCGCCTTTCAGGTTGTACTGTGGGCATGGTCCCGTAGTGGAAGCTGCGCAAGAGAAGATAGAGTACTACATCAAACACCGGCAAGAAAGAGAAGCCCAAATCATAAATGCGTTAACGGCAGCAAAAGGGCGGACGCTCAGCGCTCTCCAGGTGAGACAGGACGGGTATTCGACGCATGCATCTGCACTTCATGTGGGCACCGCATCGTGATGGTCACGGCGGGTTGTTGGTACTTTTTGCGCATTTTGTCATTACCACAACGAAGTGAGGATATCCAGGAGGTCTGGAGGATCCAGAAGGCCTCCTATGGCTCTAGGGTTCTCTTCATGTGAGTTCAGAAACTCCCTCGGTCTCTCTAAACCCTAAGCTTGACATGGCTGCGCTCCTGTATCATAACAAGTATGTGTAATCTCACAGCGAGTGCGTTCTTTCTTTTTGCCCCCCACTCCGCCCAGATTACCGTTCGGGTGTACGGCGCTGTACCTCTCCCGATCTTTGTCTCGGCGCACTACAACGTTTTGCACCACCTGTCGAAGCTCGCGAGTGAAGGAAAAGTCGTCCTCGGCTGGGTGCCGTGCTCATATTGCATTGGACCCGAGCGCGGGCTAAATGTCGGACGCACAGATTGAGCACGCCCAACAGCAGTTGCAAGGGTGCCCGTCCGGGAGCGTCCCTATGTCCCTATGCTCTCTTCATGGCCCGTGCTGGAGAGGAACGCGCCCCGCTGGTGGCTTTTTTTATGCCTCGTGCACATGGTGTCAGTCGGTCTCTTTGCGACTGAAAGTGTTTCGGTGTGCATCAAGAATAGCCGAGGTTTTCCCCACGTATATTGCCAACACCTCTGTGAGTTCTGTGACACTTCCATAACCTGACCGATCATCTGTGAATTCTGTCGCACTTCCAATACCCTGCCCGAAATAAGCAAACCCTTAAGACCCTTTAAAATGTCCTTCGTTCCGTCGCTCACGCCTGGTATGCGTGGAGGAATTTGGTGTGGAATGGCCCAGCAGCGTGAGGATGGCGGTTGGTTGTGTTGCGAAGTTACATCGACAGCGATTGGAAACAAGGCGAACGAGCCTCTGCGTATGGTTCTTCCAGGCGTACTTGTTACGCGATCCGGAAGCCCCTACAGATCGTAGGACTAAAGTGCTGGTACCTTCGGTGGATGCCTGCTTTTGTTGGCGTATGGGCTATGAGGAAGCTGTAGCAGCGGATCATCGTGTGAGTAGACAGCGCCAGGTTGTACGATATCAACCTGGAAAGAGCACAACACTGTACTGGACTTTCGGGAATGTAATCATGCAAGCAAACAAATTGATTCAAGGGGCGAAGCCGACGAGAGTCGTTGTAGGCAACAAAGTCTTGAGAAGGATGTTCAGGGTCGTTTTACTGGTGATGCCGTAAGGATCTGGATCCAGAGCCATCAAAGTACCGTGTTTTGTAGACGTGCGTCACCAACGGTAGAAACGCGAGGCACGAAATTGCACAACCAAGCGACTACTGCGTGCGAAGCCGACGAGAGTCGCTATAGGCAACAAAGTCTTGGCAAGGATGTTCAGGGTCGTTTTACTGGTGATGCGGTAAGGATCTGGATCCAGCGCCATCAAAGTACCATGTTTTGTCGGCGTGCGTCACGAACGGCAGTAACGTGAGGCACGAAATCGTGCAGCCAAACGAGACTGATACGCGCGGAGCCGACGAGAGCCAGTGTGGGCAACAAAGTGTTGACAAGGATGTTCAGGGTCGTTTTACTGTCTGGATCCAGCGCCTAAGTACCATGTTTTGTTGGCGTTCCATCACGAACGCAAATAATTGAATTAGGCCGAACTTAACGCCGAGCCGTATCCTGACGAATATTTACGGTCACTCGTATTGTGCTTGTGCTTGTCCCTGCTCGTCAGACGGGGGCGGCGGGGACCTGATTTTTGCCCGTGGCTGACACACGGACTCATTTTGACATGTCTTTATGAGAATAATCATGTGCCCGGGTGCTTTCGTGTAATCGGTTGGTCCAAAAAACTTGCACCGCAAGAACCAAGGCCAAGCGTCGTTTGTACATCCCCTAAGCTCTGCTGTCCGCGGGTGTCTCCAAGGTTGGGGCCCACTCCATGCCGAACGAACCCACCTGAGTTTTAAATTACCGGCAGGGAGACGTACTTGGAAGCGCAAGATACATCATGATGCGGGCTAGCTAGACAGTGGGCGACACCCGCTAGAATACAGTACCTGGTAGTAGACAAGGATGCCGTGTATCGATTTCGCACAGCTGGGACCGCCTAGCCAACACGATACGGGCTTTCAAACAGCAAGGGCAAAACGGCGCCGCGAGACTGTCCTTGTGTCCTCAAAAACAGATGCAGCGCACACAGGGATGTAACGCTAAATACCCCAGCTCACCTTGTAACCCGCTGCTACCGCTTGGGCACGCTCGGGCGAGTCCGCCGTGAGAAGCGGGTTGGTGTGGTTGAGATGTATGAGGACAACTTCGGCCTTACAGCCAGCCAGTTGAGCCATGGTCTCTGTTGCGATGGGGTGAGACACCTGCACGGGAACGGACGAAACGGACGAAGCTCGCCAATTTCCCTGTCGCAGTTGCCGTTTGGCAAGCAAAGTGAGGGCTTTCCAAGAGAATGTACATGGGTTCCTCCCATTTTACCAGGCTCAGGTTACATACACGCTGTACCACCACCACGCCCAAAAGGCAGGCACAATCTGCATGCCAAAAGAAAGGGGGTTGGCTCACAGCAAAAACAAGCATCACACTGCAACTACCTCGCTCATATCACGGCCCTTCAGCTCCCCCTTGCCGTGAAACGTCGCGTCCAATAACGCCACGTCTACCTCGTTGCACCAGCTGCTGATGTTCCGTTTCCAGTCCGACCTGTTACAGAATAAAGCGTCAGTCATGCTGCTAACGCTCTGTGCATCGGCAACAGCAAACGTATGACGGTGCTAACTAACAGTGTTCGGAGAAGCGTCAAAGCCATCGAATCAGCGAATATGTGTGAACATTCTCCGACTAGCCGCCCGGCGACAACTCGAGTATCTCGTTAAAAGTTAAGATGAAGAGCTTTGTTGTACTTGTCATTAGTCCATTAGTCCCATGTGCGCTTCTTCCCGATATGCCCGGAGGGTGGCTTACCCCCAGTGTCCCCAGCTGCCACGTTCCACAAAGATTTGCCTGGGTCACGCAAGGGCCACATCCAACCGCCGTCTATTTCGAGCATACGAGTAAAAGTCACTCTGTGAGTCTACCCGCAGAGTGTAGACGCGCAACCACTTTGAACCATGTTTACAGGCTATAAGCCTGGCACGCTATCTCTGCGCAATCAACATGCTTGAAACCAGTACCCTTAAAAAGTCTAACGTGAGCTTAAACCCCAATGTACTATGCATCCTCAAGAGGCCACACCCTGCCTGACCAATTACCCTCTCTCGGGGTTGCAATTGGCGTAAAGGAAAATATCGTGTACATGGCAGACGGCAACCCCATGAAGAATCATCGTGTGGTGCCGTAGCATGACTCAAGATATCCATCGTGGAGTTGGTTCAATAAGTATTCCCAAGCCCTCACCAGCCATCCGTGTCGGGGCAGTAAAGGAGCTTCATTGTATCGTTTTCGCCACTTGAGACCTCTGCGGGGGGTCCAAGATCCAGCTTTGACGTGTGAGAAACGGCCGTACCGGAGGCATCCACAGCTCGCGATGCTACCGAAACCACGTACGCTATCGTATCGGACAGTTCCGCCCGGTGGGGAACAGGCACGGGAAGAACGGACAGCGAACGCGTGAGCTGAACCGGCACCGCGTCTTTGGAATTGTCGGTCGCGTCGATGTCCAACTCCTGAATGGTGATGTTGCCTCGGTCCGTCAGCTGGCGCCAGGGCTGGTTGCTGCGCAAAAAGGATGCCATGCTCGGGGTGCAGAAAACCTGCTCCCACACGACCATACGTAGATTGTGGCCGTGATTACGAGTTGGAAATCGGGTCATGCATACAACCTCAAGGGACCACAGCTGATTGGTGCAGAGATTGAGGTAGCCGGAAGATTTGGCAGAAAAGCGGTCAGTGGGAGTCGCAAACTTCGTACGTTTAGCAGTGCTTGGTGCTACCCATACAATCACTCACCGGCACACCCCTCATGTCTGCTTCCTCTTTGCCGAGTTGAAGTAATCCAGTGTAGTGCCCAATATGTGCATGGGTCAAAAGAATACCCCCAAGCTCCAACGGGCGTCCACTGTCACCTGCTGTGAACGTTAGACGGCCAAGTTGACCCACAAACCCATGAAAGTTCCAGTAAGCGTGGGTACACCACCACCACTTGCGCATCGCATATTCGAAAGCAAGTCCAGCACAGCGCGTTGTGCCCTCCCTAGGCTACCGTACCACGGTCTGGTGTCGTTGTCAACCAAAAAAGCCACCAGAGCGAGAAACAGCGATATGCAGCAAATCGCTAAGTGAAGATGACCGAGCACACGAAGCGACCGTCACACCTTTTCGTTTCGGGTGCTGGATGTACCAAAGTTGCTCGCGGAGATCTGGGGTTGCATCGATGAGAAACACCTGGGGGTCGAATCAGGAATCAGTCACTTCATCATCTGTCTTCACACGCGAAAGATGCGCCAAGTATCTACCACTTCATGGTGAAAGAGTTGTCTCACCTGTATGGCCATTCCATCCCCATCCACCCCCTTTCCACCCCCACGCCATTCCCGAGCATGTACGGAGAGTCCAAGCTGATGTGCACCAATCGCTCACGAGCGTTCGTAAACTTACGCCATCAAACTTGCATCAAAGCCCACTAAACCGTTCTGCCCGGAGTATCATCCAAAAGATGAAATCTACTCACCTTTCCCTCTGTTTCATCCACCAGGGCTAAGCACACAACCAGCCCATCTTTGAACTCAGGATTGCGTCGAGCATACTCGCACTGGTGGCAGCCGCATCCCATCTGTATGCAATGCGTGTCGATACCATGCATTGATACATTACATACCAGTACACACCGAGAGCCGAAGGGTGAGTTGGTACATATTCGGCTGTTGTTCTGCTGCTGTGTTTTTCTCCTTCCCCTTGAGAAGTGCACATGGATGATTTTGACGAGGTGGTAGTAGGTGCACTGCTCTTGTTCGTCGCTACAGACATGTAGCTTCGCCGGTGGAAAATAAAACACGTCACCTGCGGGAGTCCCGCATCTTGAGCACAGCCCAGTAGCACGACTTTCGCGGACATCTGCTCAGAAACACAAAGGACGCGACGAATCGTTCATTCACGAATCTCGGGTAAATCGGGTACGACATCAGTGCGACATGCCACACAGCTGCAGGGCATGCGCATTTCAGTGCCAGTGAAGCAGAAAGTACCTGAGCTCCCCATCCAAATGAGAGCAGTACAATTGAACTTACCGGACAAACTTCCCGGTTGAATATATCGGAGGATGATCGGAGGTATGATACAGCAGTAGCCTTGTGCTCTTCTGATGTTTTGGGGCATTCGAATATCGACAGCGCAAAGTTGAGAGTCAAACCGAAAGTCTCGCGGTGCCGCGGTGTCGAGTGTCAAGTGTCGATTGGAACACGGACTCAGAGCAGAGACCGCGAGTGGGATGCAGCTGGTGCAACGCTGGTTGTGGTTGCTGCTTGGGTACGAATTGACAGTCCCGCGCATAGAGGCGTTCGTCACACCGCACTTGACAGTCCGGCGGAGGGTCTACGTCCGTCTCCTGCTCTTGCTCCTGCTCCTGCTCCTGCTCCTGAGCTCCGGAGTGGAGTCTAGAGTCTGGAGAAGGGTCTGCTTGTGGCACGTGATTGGGCGTGGGAGGGCTGGATCTATCTGTCAATTGGCCGTCGATTGTTTTGCAGGGACGGTGAGCCACGAACCGTCGCCCGAACGTTCTTGGGATCGGGTGTCGGGTGGGTGTCGGGTGCACTTGCGCAAGGCTTCGGCCGTGCATCTTGTTTTTGTGGAAGAAACCATGAATCTTCCTTGAGGCTGACTTTGTTACGGGAGGTGTAACTTGTGGTGATGTCAGGCTGCAACTACATAGGACTTGCAGCAAGCGTACGTACTACAACACTATTGTTTAGTCCTATGCAAGCTTGTTGTCACACGACTTCGTTCGCGTAAGGTGAGAGCCGAATGACCCCGGGTTGAAGATACAAGGGAGTTTATGTGCCCGGCACCCCAGATTTGTGCGTGTACGTGAGTTTGGTGGTTGTGAACCAAACTGGAGCGGCGTCCTTGTTTGTGTAGATTGACAAACAATTGCTCCTTCTACACGTTCGTGTCACCACCATCCGCACTTGTCCAGGCAGAGTGGTCCTTTCGTCATGGACAGTAGTCACGACGAAGGCAGCCAGCACGGCAGCAGCTTCGAAGCAGCCTTCGTTTCCTCTAGTCCCTTCTTTCGCGGCCTCAGCTCGTTTGTCCGGCGAGAAAGCGCCATCGCTGCTTTCTCCTCAGAGGCTGAGTCTGGCCGAAAACCGCCCACGCTCAGCTGCCTCTCGCCGGAGGTGCTCGCCCGCCTAAGGTTCGTAGAGAACGCCGCTGGACGGCAACAAGGCAACCGGACGGCAGCAGCAGGACGAACAGAAGGGAGAACTAGCGTAGGCGAGCAAGACATATCACTCTTCAGCGAGGGCGGGAGAGTAGAGTGGTCGCGCGTGCGGATATCTGCATCTGGTGATGGTGGTGTCGAGGCTCTTGCCGATGGCGCGCGTCTCGCCGTGGTTTGCCATGCGGCGCTGCAGCGACACCAACAACAGCAACAAAGGCAAGGACAGCTGGAGCAACTTGCAGCGCCGACATCATCCCCCCTGCCACCGGTACCGCGAGAAGTGACAAATGAGCGACTGCAGATGCCGGGCGTGGTCGAACGCATCGTCCGAGCGGAATCGAGCAAAGAGCAAGTCTACGTGGCGCTCTGCGTCTGCCTGACAATCCTGGAGCGGGCCTTGTACGACATCTACCGCAAGGGAGCCAGCCAAACCAACAATAACTATCGCAGCGTGGGAGAAGAGCACGGCTCCGACAGTACGCTAGCTCATGAGGAGAGTTTCGAAGGCAAAGAAGACGCCGAGGGCATTGATGGGCGTGGTGGGTCGCTTGGTGCGCCTGCAATGATACTCCGGGACCTGATTGCGACCCCAGAAGTCAAGGCGGCTCTCCCTGAGCAGCTTGTGGCGATTCTGCGTCTTCTTCTCCTGCCAATGGGGTTTAATGTTCGGAACCTCGTGGTGAGGTGTTCGATATGTATGCGTAGTTTGGAAACTTAGGTTTGGCTGTTCCCTACCGGACTGTTTCTCTCTCTCTCTCTCTCTCTGTCTCTGAAAGTTCAGCTGCCCGAAATGCCACAGCCTGAAAAACGCAAATGATTTTACCGGGGCGTGTTGGTGGCTGTGAGCGGGCGTTTAAGTGTAAGAGCGGTTCTCTCTGAAGATATTCGGTACAAGGTTGGTAAGAGACGACTTGCACGTTTTCACCATCTGCTGCTGGGGCTGCGCTACCGAACGCTCCGGCCAGATCCACAAAGTGTGCAAATCTTGAACCGAACCAAATTTACTTTGGCATTGTTCTACTCGCCGCCACGAGCCCGAGTCTCCTGAACTGGGGGTCGTCCAAAGCAGCTAGTGGTACGAAGTACATACGCTAGACACCTGCACTACACGAGATTACAGGGCTACCACGGCGAGAGTACAGCATGGAATATGAATGGTTTGACCGAGATGTGCGGACTTTTCGGACCGCAGCTGCGGCCTTCGATACAGTAGCCCAGCCTCAACGGCAGGTCTGAGAGGGCCAGCACGGACGCGGCTGCTCCGTGACGTTCTCTGCTGGCATACCATTTGAGGGGACGACTCTTGAAGCCCAACCAGTATTGCCTGCCATATGGACTGTTGGGTCTTGGATTTCGACTGGTGATATTTTTTCTTGCATGATGTGCTTGTGGAGACTATCCCCAACCATCGGTCTGCGAGATAACAAACGGAGTTTTTCGCCCCCAACATTTCGTTGGTCTGATACATCTCGTGCGTGGTTGCTGGTTGATCTTTTCAGTTTTTCAGTTTGTCAACAAATTCAGCCAGAATCGAAATCGATTGTCCTCGGTCCCGTGACACTAACTTGGTGCAACATTCCCTTTGACTCGTGGGGCTCGTCGAGGAACATGCCAAGCCTTGCGTGTGCACTAATTACGATTGCTTCCCCCATTTTTTTCATTGTGCGTACAATTTCATCGTAGTGGCACGGATTTCTGGCTCCTTGCGAGCTCCCAAGAGAGCTAGCCTCCCTTGTCCTCGTGGTGACCCTGAGCATCTCCGCCGACTCATCGCCTGAGGGGGAGACAGGGGATGTTGCACGTTTTGGGGAACAACCAGAACTCTCATCGCGGAAGCTCCTGCTTTCACCGCCTACGCTGCCAAAGACGGCGCCCCAACTAGACCGTTCCTCTTCGGCGACAGCCTGGTGGGAGCTGGACTCTTTCGACAATCGCCTAGCATGTCCGCGAGCTCTTGCCTCGGCGGTTGAGTACCTGCTCAGCGCGCAGCACCGAGACGAACTGAAGACGTTGGTGAGGCGGTCGGCGTTCGTGCTTCCGGGGCGGGAAAAGTTGACAATGCTTGCGCTGAGAGCACTCGGAGGTGAGCGCGACGCACAGGGTGATGACGACGAGGAGGAAGGGAACGGTGGCGGCAGCGCGTTTTTCTTGGTGGCGGTGTTGCCTGTGCTGGAGCACGGCCTTCGGGTCCTGTTCTCGTGCGCGAATGACTCTCCGGGGCACATGTTCGCCCACGCGCAGCGGTATTATTCGACGCTGGACGGGTTCGGTCAGCGTGCGAGGCATCAGCTGCTGCTGGATCAAGAGATGAGCGGTTGCCCCGACCGACCGAACTTGTTGTTGTCTGCCCTCGGTCCCGGAATGTCGGCGTGTCTGCTCGACCTCTTCATGATGAGTGCCGGTCCCAACCTCCGTGGCAAGGTAGCCCACGGCGAGGTCGACGTGTCCCGCGTTTTTCTTCCCTCTCCGTCGTGCTCTCAGACCGCGCCTGAACTGGTTAAGCTTACGGCTGCGCTCTTTCTCGTTCTCTGTCGAAGATACGACGCTGGCAGGGACACGGTGGATCGCGAAGAAAGTGCGGGAGTGGGGCCTGTAGGCAGTAGCAACAGCTTCTCTCGCGCGTTCGCCGAGGCTCTTGACGAATGCGAGGCCCACTGTTCGGGGTGGGTGCCAAGATTCCACCCGCACGAGCTGCTCGAGGTAGACCTTAGGGCTTCTCGTGATGAGTTCGATGGGCTCGCTCTTGCCCTCGAGCGGCGCGCGATATCGGTCGAGGTTCTTCATGGAAGTCACGGGGGAGATCTTGCGCGCATGTCAGTGGAGATATCGGGGGACGGCCGCCGCTGTGATGGCCGGACATGCGAGGAAGATGGAGAGATAAATTGGGAAGTGCAGGGGAGGGAGGAGGAGGAGGAGGTGGTAGAGGAGGAGGAGGAGGAGGAAGAGGGAGAAAAAAAAGACGCGCAACCATCCGAAGGGAGGGTGGTTTTGACAGTTACGGATACTGCGAGTAGGTTGGTTGTGCCACCACCTCCCCGTGCACCCGAGGCAGTCGAGCACGACGCCAGGCTGCCTCCCGCAAAATGTGGTGCCACTGGAAAGTTACAGAACAAGAAGAACGTGCAAGGGTCAACAAGCGGAATGTTTGCAAGCCTCCTCAGGGTAGACGAGGCTCTCAGAGAGCACGGTGCCAGCTTAGCTCGCCGATTCCAGCGGCATCAACGGAGCGTAGAGGCGCCGACCCGAGCTTCAGCCTTTGCCGCCCACTACAACAAGCAGCAGCTGCGTCCGGGCGCGGGCTTGTGCTGTGGCCACGAATGCCTCGGCCAGCGCAACCACCGTCGCTTGCAGGACCGCGGTGTTTTTCTCCCAGACGACAATCACGGTCGGATTTCCCCTCCAACCAACGTCATGACGTGCGCCCCTCTGCCCCAAAGACAGATGATGGCCACGCTGTGTAAGGCATGCGCCGAGGGTGCTCTGGGCCTGCGGGAGCGTATCGCGGAGCTCGAGGCGCTGCTTTCGTCGGGCTCCGCGAGGTCCGGGCAGCGACGCGCTTACGCAGCCACGCTCCAAGTGGCCCCCACCATCCTCCGATTTCTCGCGTCCGCCGTGGCGTGTGTGGAGCTGTTCGTGATCGAGTGGGATCAACAGCACAGCAGCGACGAGACCGGTCTTGACACCGCGACATCGTCTTCAACTCCAACTGCTGTCAACGCTGCAGGCCTGTCCTTCCTTCGCCGACTCGCGGCCGTGAACGGCGCCTTGGGGCTGTGCATTGCAGCAGGAGCGGGAGCAGGGCCTCGCAGTGGGGCCAGCAGCAGCAGCAGCAGCAGCAGCAGCAGTAGTAGCAGTAGTAGCAAGGGTGGTGCTGGCTGTAAGGAGAAGTCGGGTGGGTCAGGAAAGAAGGGGTTTGCCCAAGCTTTGGCGGAATTGGCGTCATTTTTGGAGACGAAAGCGGCTCGGCAGGGGTTCGCGGGGTGCTGGGTACACTGACAAGAAATGGTTGTTGGGGTAGCGAAGCTACGAGCCCACTGCCGCCCCGAACACAACCATTGATCGTGAAGGTCGGTGTGATGAGGACTCATGCTTGGCGCACATCAAGTAGTTCAACAGCGCGCGCACTTCACGAGACTTCGACTCTTTTCTTTTGTCATCAGCTGCCGCGTGATGAATCGCGGCAAGGGTTAATCAACAACCGCAAGTCGAGTCAACCGTGTCGTGACACAAGAAGGGCGCGCCAGCAGATGAAGTGCCAAACGTACCCGGCCGTGTGAGGAAAGGTCTCTGGATGATGCAGACAGGTCGTTCGGGCGTCGGACTATCCACGGTAGGAAGTGGTTTTGCGCTCGCGGAGAACGTATTATTGCTTTGAACTGCTGCGGTTTTGAGACGCCAAGCTACACACCGCACCATGAACTAACTGCATCCGAAAATAGTTTTGGTTTTATATTGCCGACTAAATAAACAGTGGGAACACACCGCGCTACTACAGCCGCTACCAGAGCTGCCCCCTTAGGGAGAGTATGAAGCAAAGCCGTCGGCCCAGTATTGCCCATGCGCTCATCAAGAAACGCAAGAAGGACTCACAGACACTTGCTGACAAGTCTTGACAGGGGATGATGAGTTCGACAAAAGACAATCGCTCGCATTCACCCGCCCAAGCGCCGAACTCGACAAGCCTCCCGTCAAGACGACAACGATATGCCACCAACACAATTCTTGAATGCTGTCCTTCCTGACTGTCCTCGGTCTTAACAAACACAGGGTTACAACAAAGTACACACAACACAGGGTTACATAGGCTCTTGCCCGTGCAACGAGTGAGTACCATTGAAGGGCACTCGGTCGACACGAACCGAGCTGCCATCAAATGCGCACCAACGGCAAGAACTACACGCAGCAAGAGACAACAACAACCATCAACTGACGAAGATCGCGACCGAACATCATCCCCCCCCTCCCGGTTGTTTTCTGGGCTAGACTGTGCAAACGTAGTGCAAGCCGCTAGCTGCACGACTCTGGTCAGTTGTTGCGTGTCAACAACTCGCGGAGCCACCCACGTGTGTGCGAAAAGCAACCGTTTCTTCCCCAACCTAACGCGGGCAACATGTTCACATGTTGTACAATATTCTGGCATGAGTGTGCTCTGCCTTGGTGTGCCGTGCAGGCCTCCTGGGGTCACAAAGGGCGCGTACATAACAACATAAAAAAACGTACCAAAAAACTTTGCATGCGCTTGGGTGAGGAATCCCTGAATAATTGGCTGCAGTGGACTGACACCCGGGAAACCCCATGTCTGCCTTAAAGAAGCCTGTACTTTAGCCGCCTCGACCGTCACTCACACGATCTCGACCAGGCACACCCACCCACACTTCGCGTGCTTACCTCTACTTCCCGCCGATCGTGGAGATCCACTTCATAAAGGGTACAATCTGCAAACGTCTGCGAGTACGATCTCTTCTCCTCACATTGGCGTTCGCGATGACATGCCTGCTTTTGGTGGAAGAGAACCCGGGTGCAGATCCGCCACCCGCCACCTTTTCTCTCCAAAAAAAGGAGGGAAAAATTGGTGGGGGACCAAATACAAATCTTCGAACTCGTGGAGCATGCAACAAACGTGGCGGACGTACTGAACCCGTGAAAACACGTAAAGAAGATTGTGAGTAAGTGCATCGACACGCCGCCAGTCGGTCGGATTCCGGCTACTACCCCTTACGAGCCTTCTTGCCTACATAGCAACCCGGAAGACTCAAAAAAGGGGGGGGGGGGGGGGGGTAATGTGGAAAAAGATCCCCTACATAAGGGTCGAGGACCATTCCCTCTTTCACACAATGGGTAAAACTGGTGCCATCTGGTGGCCAACAAACTGACAAACTGGAGAAACATCAACGTCTGTCTTAAGGTTTGTATCCACACGCACACTCCTCCCAAAAGATCCATCCATAGCTCTACCCTGCCCTCTCCCCAGCCATACCTCAGCTGGGCGCTGATCCCATGGCCTTCAAAGCTAACAACAATCGACGACGAAGTCAGTAGAACGCCTACAGAGAACCCAGGCACACAACAGGATTACAATATCTGCGCCCTGTCTGGTGCGTGCCGTCTTCGGCACATACCCTCTATCGGGCAGCAGCAGCAGCAGGCATCGACGCGGGCAGCAGGAAAAGCCAGCTCCGGTCATCGCACTACTGCCCACCTGACTCGCCTATGATAGCATCTTCTGTTATTGCGCGTTGAGGCGTTGCAACAGCCCCTGCTTGAGGTCTGCCGGGAGCTTTTCGATGGCCGCATTCAAAGGCTCGCCGAGCTCCCCCGCCGCAGCCTGGATCCCCTTGACCAAGGTGTCCTGGATCTCCTCCTGCACCTTGGCCGCCGGTGTTAGCGCCTGAGCCACCACCGCTGTTTAGTGCAAGAGCGCGAAAGCGAACGCGTCGGGTGAGTCAGGCAGAGGACAAGGGGTAGAGGATGGGGCAACGGCAGCCAAGAACCAACGCCAACAAACAAAAAAGCCAATCCCCGCGCGCACACCCGCAGAAGAACAGGTCCCGTCGTACAACAGTATCAGTTTCCAACAAGCAGTGTGTGTAGCAGGAAGGGAAATCCGCAACTATATTATACCACCAGCACCATTCGCCCCCACCACGAACGGCAGACCGTAGGTTGCATACAAAGTACAAGATACGACACCTCCTGGACCGATTGTCAAGGCTCGATTGCTCGGCAGGAAAAAACAATGACGGTGACGAGAATGGCGGGAGGCGTTGGAACCGTCCCGTCGAGAGCGCCCCGAAAACGTTACCATTTGATTTCGACATCTCCATGTAATCGAGCTTTGAAAACTGGGCCAGGGGTGTGTGGTGTGTACGCGTCATGCAACCTACGATTAAAAATGAAGCACTCACCCATGATGGAGTCCAGCAACCGCAGCGCCTCCGGGTGGCGCAGGTGGATCAGCCCGAGCAAGCACGTGTACACCGCCTCGTTCTCGCTGCGGTCCGACTTGAGCGGCAGCGCGGACAGGAATACCGGGAGCACCTGGTCCATCGGCAACGCCGCCGGCGCCGCCATGATCATCCTCGCCACCGCGGCTGCCGCGTTGTCCACCACGCCCCCCTCGGTGCCCTTGCTCGTCAGCGCGAAGAGGGGATGCAAGGCTTGGAGAAGCTCGGGGTAGTACGGCACGATCACCTCCCCTGAAAAAAAGAACAACGAACAGGCATGTGTGTGAGTTGACATTGACAACCAGGTAAGTTCAAAGCCAAAGACCTATGCCCAACATACCACGAAACTCGAGGTTCTGTCGGGGGTTGTGGAACGCATTCTCCCGCCCCCCCCCCTTGGTGTTTGCCATCGGGATTGGGTTTTCGTCGCTTGGCAACGACGTTGTAAAACAAGCCAATTCACTTCGTGTACTCGGCAACCAGGTTACAGGCTTTTTTCTACCTCTGTTTTTTTCTTTTTTGCGGTAACCATAATGGTGGTCGAGTAGACCATGTTGTGCGGGGTGGAGAACCCTCACTCCGCGCAAGGGGGATGATCGCACCACGTTGAATGGTCAAGCATTCCCGAGGCAGTTACACAGTGCTTACAACTGTCTCTGGAAGTGAAAGCACCAGAAAATAAATTAAGTCATACGCAGCTGTCATCCGTACGCGAGGAAGTAAGCACAAGATGCCGAACACCCTTAGCAGGATGCAGCGCACCCTTCACGCGACTCGCCGAATACCTCACAGCGCTTCGCGCTTCGTGATGTGAGAGCCTGGTCCGGTGAGAACCCGGCGTGCTCCGTCCCGGCTTTGTAGGGATGCGAGGTCAATAGCCTAACGACTACGGCATGCACGACTTTGAGTACCCCCCCCCCTCGAGATCGAGGTATTTTTCCCGTGACTCAGCTCGTCTGCAAGATCAGTGCTTATCCTTGTCTTCGTCTCACCAAGACCTACGCTGTCTTTTCATTGGTCATAGCCGGTCAAGCATGGTCCACCCAAACGCAAGAAACACACTAAAGAAACTCCAAAACTCGTCCAAACAGAACCGACTGCTCACCTCCCCCCTGAGCCAACGTCCCTGCGCAGAATGCGGCGTTCCGTCGCACCCCCGCGCTGGAGTCCACCAAGCTAAGCTTGATTATCGGTAGCACTTGACCGATGTATTTAGCGCAAGCTCTTCAGAGTTGAAGTTATTTTGTTGCCATCAAAGGAAAGATGCCACACCGGTGTCGGATCGAGTGGAGCGGGAGCGCGGAGGGGGAAAAGTTAGGAGGAGGAGGGATGCATTGGGGAGATAACTCGGGTCCGATTCTCACGAATACAGCAGTAGGGGACTGACTGGCCGTAAAAATGTTGGCCCACGCTACGCCTTTATAACCCTGGCCTCTAATCAAGACAACTATCCATCTTCACCTATTTCATGGATGTTTTTCACAACCTCTGCCCCCATTGCTCCCCCATCCTGCCCAGCAACTTTCACTCGCCCACGCACGCCTGCGGCCCAGAAGACCCGCTCAACCGGCCATACTCCAAAGAGCTACAAAACGAGGCACTCTTGAGCTAGAGCTACACAAAACAGTTCGGCATTGGCGCAGTTACAACATTAATACAATACTCACGGGCCAATGGACTCGAAAACTTCAGCGAAGCAGCCCACCGCCATCGACCTGTCCGAGGCCGGCCTCGACCCCTTGGTGTACTTGAGAATGTTCGGCAGGAAGACATCGAACGACTCGGCGAACGATGGGCCGATAACCTTTTTGGAGGGTGTGGCAGGGTCCGTGAAAGGTATTTATGATATGCAAACCGACCAGAGGCAGAGGGACGCGATGCATTCGGAGGAGGGGCGGGGGTCATCCATCATCGATGGAAGTCATGGCAGCACATATTGGCTGCAGGGTAAGTAATCGTGCGTTGGTATTTGGGGGCAAGAGACAGACATGGCACCCACAGGCGCAAGACAGCGTACAGATACCGGGGGGTGGGGGTGGGGGTGGGGGTATACCGATCGATTTTTTTAAGACGACTCCTCAACACACGGACTGCTGGTGAGAAAGCACCACAAAAACAATATATTTCCATCAGCAGAAAATTAAACACTTATCGAGTTCTTGGAAACCCTATAATCACTAAGGTAACACCTTTCAGTAAAATCACCCTGAAAAAGCACTTGGCAAACGTCCCGACAACGTCGACGCGCACGGCGCCAGCATGCAACTGAGCACCGCGTTGGGGACCAAATTTCCCCATACACCAACATCACTCCAACTACATGTGGTCGAGAACAAAAATCTACAACACAAGATGGTGCACCTAGCAGAACCTGCACTGCACTCAGAAACAAGGCGTATTATCCTCCCCGCCGTGACGTCACGTCATCAACCGACCGACCGACCGACCGACCTTCGCGAACGCTCCGACGAGGTCGCACGCTGCGTAGGCAACGTTGCCGTCCGCGGTGTCCTCGTCGTCGTCCTCTTCGTCGTCCTCTCCCTCTCCCCCGTCGTCAAACAACTGCCCAAAGCAGTTACCCTGGGAAGGAGCGGGAAAAACATGCCAGGGCGGCGGCGGTGCCGAGGGGTTATCGAGCGATCAGAGAGTGATGGATCTCGACGTTAGTTCCAACCTTAGTCCCAGCGTTAGTTCCAAGAACATCGCCACATGACGGCGCGTGAATACATTCGCCCTGGTGGTCGTGTCACCGGGCGCATTCACTGCCACCAGTTTGTGCCAGAAAGGACAAGACGAGTGACTTCGTCACTATCTTCCGTTCCCTCCCTCATGTAATACGAAGACAAAAATACACTAACGGGGGGGGTGGGGACAGACCAACGCTACGCTTCACTAGCCATCCAGAATGACGTCAACACGAACAAACCACACACACAAATGATCAGGACGGCTACGTAGCGCGGTCGATGCTAAAAAATGAACAAGCACGCAACACTAGACGCACACACACCTTCTCCATGAGGAGATTGTTTGTGACGTTCATGACCTCCGTCATGTTGCTCGAGATCGCCGCAGGCCCCACCAGTTCCACCACCCCCTTCAGGCCCTGGCACGCCACCGCCACCACCTGGGCCTCGTGGTCGTCCGCCATGAACCGCAGCAGCAGCTCCACGACCTTCGCGCACACGCCGCCCGTCACCTGCGACAACGGTGTCGCCTGCCCCTTCTGCCACTCTTGCTCCGGGGGGAACACCTATTAATACATAAAGAGACGGGGACAAGTCGACAGGGAGATCGTGACGCTCCTCCCAGGAACCACACACCCCCCCTTCCTCAAGCCACCACGGGCGTGGAGACGATGGCTACGCACGACTAGAGCACGCCCCCCTTCCTCCGCCGACCAAATTACATCGTGGCTCATCAGCAACCACAATATTGCGGGGCATCGAATGTTGATCATCACTACTGTTACATCCCCTCCCGCCAAACACGTCATCGCCGTCCCTACCAAACGTGCCCCTCACCACGACCCCCTCCTCTAGAGGTCTCACGTAGAAAAAGCAATCCACAACGTCTTCCGCCCCCCCCGCCCCTTTCAACAAAGTCGTGCGAGAAAAACGCGTTGACCGCCGGACCCACCGTGTTAGCAACGTGCACCATCCACTCCAAGCACGAGCAGACAGCCGCCCGCACTTCCCCGTGCCAGTAGTCCACCTGTCAGATGCAACAAAAAAAAATGATGGCATTATTATCACGAACAACAAAAAAAACGCAACTATACAAGGAAAAATTAAAAAAAACGGCGAAACCATGCCGGCTACGAATGCACTTCTGAAGCGAAGAATACAATGCTGTTCACGGTGTAAGAAGCTCCACGCATCCAGCTTGCGGTTTCAAGAATTCGGCATGATACTGCAATGGACAATGCATGTAGCACATTTTGGGTCGGATCTCACGTCATGCGCAACAGGAGCAAGAGCTTGTGCCCGGCGCGCTGCCAACGCTTCTGCGGCGGTGGGAATCTGTTACGGTACCGTAGCCAAACTCAAACACCATCTCGCACTCTCCCACCCTTTTTTGACGGATGTTTTCATGCCAAGGGGGGGGGGGGCAGGGGACGGTCGACACACGGGCTACATAGACGGCGACTGATCTGTTATAAAAGGAACAAGAAAGCACAACAATGAACACAAGAAAAAAAAACGTGTTCGAACCTGATTGTCCAGGGTCTCCATAGCCAGAGGCAGGTGGGGGTAGAAGGCCAGGGGTGCGTGCTCAGCCAAGGACCCAAGGGCGACCAGTGCCGCCTTCTTCTTGTCCAAAACCGACGTCCGGATGTTCGAGTACGCCCCCGTGAACTCCTGCGAGTTGGGTTGGGCGCGCACGTGTACAGCACGGTAAAAAGTGTACCAGAAGAAGTTTTTGTGGGTTCGAAACTCACGCATGTCGAAAAATCAACTGGCGCGATACAAAACGGAAGCGCTTGTTGAGCACGGTGTGTGCGAGATAGCGCTGCGTGCGTAGAATGTTGTGTCTGCGGGCAAGCAAGACGTAGGCACCTCTTGGCCTGGTTTGATTTGATTTGGTCTCAAAGTCGCAACAAAACAACCATTTTCAAAGTGTCATCACTCACGAAAACGACTTAAAAATATAAAAATATGCGTTAGGTGCTGTGTTGGTACCTGCAGGCTGCTCGACATCTTTCTCCCGGCTTCTACTGCCGCTTTCTCGTTGTCTCATTGGTTGACTTTGACCGAGCTCCTCCCTCACGGCCCATCAACCCACGCACCTCTCGGGAGCCACGGGCTTGGTCGATTTGATCGAGTCCCTCCCTGCCAGTCTCTGACCTACCATACCTCTCGCTCCTCCCTCGTACCTGCTGAACACGCAAATCTCCGCCCTCTCTGCTCACCTCTGACGGTCCTCTCTCTTCTCACTCTCACCTCCCGACGGACCTGACCTGCCTACCTCTTGATCCTCCTTCTCCTCATTTCATGACCTGACCTACGCATACACACACATCCCCCATGACGCCCCCTCACGGGGTCCCAGATCATTGTCTTCTGAAGACATTCTGTCGTCAGCCTCAGTGAGCCTGACGTCTCTTCATTGGTCAGTCGGTTAGCGCGGTCGATGCTACAGTAATAACAAACACACACACATACATACCTCCCCGTCCTCGTCGTCCGCGTCTACGAAAGCGTCATCTTCGTCGTCATCCGACCCCAAACCGTCCAGACCGGTACCATCGGATTCCTGACGTCACATAGCATCACATGACACGACAGATATGGTGGGTACGACGTAAGTGTAGCACACGCACCAACACAACACCCAAAGTAAAGATGAGAAGAAACGATAATCTGACACAAAAATTGCAACCGAAGAACCACATGCGTACCACTGGACAAAGTCATACTACTGTACTGGGAACGCTCCGGTCGTGAAAACCTTTTGACAAAGGGGATTATCTCCTCGACACTTGAGCGACGCAGACGCTCACACGGTTTTCTATCAAACGTACCACGGTCGCCAATGCCAGCAATAGCACCCAACACCAACGAGAACGCCAACAACATCCCAAAACAACAAAAACAAAAACGTACACAAGCAACATCAGTTCGCTACCATGACAACAGCAGCAGCAACCACAGCAGCAGGAACATTCAGCGACGACAGGCGCACAACCGCCACCGACCTGAATCTCCTTGAGCAGGTGCGGCGCCAGCCTGGCGACGTGGACGCTCATGTCCTCTTCCAGGACCTTGGCCAGGTTCGCGAAGAACGTGTAGCTGTACTCGTGTAGCTCGGTGGAGTCGAATTGCAGACCCTGCTCGGCTTGGCTGTCCAACACACGTGCCGATACCGTCGTTGTTTCGTTTGAGGTCGCAGGAAACGCTCCAAAGAAACAGACCAAAAAACAAGAACGATCAGATCACGTTTACAAGCAGCCACGTTGCCGCACGCACAAAGATAACGCAGCCAACCGCACAGCGCGCGCGAATAATCAACGAGACTGAAAAGTGGCATGACCATGACGAGAGGAGGCGGGTAGGCAGGGACAAGAGGTGGGCAAAGGGGGAGGCAGCCCATGACCGCCCGTGCAAGCGCAGAGCACAGCATTGGTGGACAACGCTGCACCATTCTCGGCACTTCTCGTCCCACATCCAAATACCCACCTTCTCTACCCCCAACAGCAGCAGCGACTTGATGCCATCCCCCAACCCGGTGGCATCGCTGCTGATAACCCTCTCGTTGGGCTTCTATACCAAGCAGCTACCTTTCGCCACTAATGCACGAAACTGACACCGGGCTGATGCTGCTGTACTAGCTGTGAGCAACATCCCCTCTCTCTCATGAACTACCCGCTAAAAACCTTCGCCAGATTAGGGCGGCGTGGTGCTCTTTATCATGTCTAGGCGGACTCACGCGATGCAGGGCTCGACGTAGGGCTTGAAGTTCTCCTTTCCCACGGCGATGGCCACGTGCCCCATGCACTCCAACGCTCTGCCTCGGAGCTGTTTATTCGCCATGAAAGTCGGAAACAGCGGGGTGGGGGGATGTGCGTGTGTCATCAAAAAGCACCGACCGCGCAAAACCGGTTACAAATAAAGAGGCGCTGTTCGTGGGTAGCGCGCGAACGTACTGCTCTTGCGGCCATGATGCACATTTTGTGCCTGGTGTACTACGGAATGATACAATACGTACGCGGAGTCAATCGCAGCAAATCAAGAACAAAATGAGTACCGCACCTTCGGTCAAGACAATCGCTATTCATAACTCTGAGGCCATTCAGCCTTGGAGTGACGGCGCTAAAAATGAACACACGCAGCCGTCGACTGATAACCCCTGGTGGTCCAAGGGAAGAAGGGTACCCTGTGCAAAACGACTAGATTGAAATCGGGGTGCGCTCCTAGCCGACGACAGCCCTTGGCAAAATACTGCGGACTTGAAAGCAAAATATGGAAGGTTGCACCCACGTTTAGCATTTTCTCCTCTTGCAACGTCATGAACGGTCCGAGCATGGCGCAAGTCGCCGCCATGTAGGGCAGGAAGCTCTGTCCCGCAGACACCGCGGTGGCCGCGATCGCAGCAACGGACATCTCCTGCAGCAACAACAACCAAGAGTACCACATGCATCACAGAGACACAAACAAAAAGGTGAAGGTACGGAGAACGCGAGGGCGATACAGCAGTCGGTGGTGTACAAACAAACATACATTATTGTTACTGGTACTAAATAGAGACAGTAAAATCGACAGAGACACAAGCCACAAGAGAGGAGACAAAAAACCCTTCAAGGGCAATCAACGTATACCGCAGCCGGACACCACAACTGCAAAGATGAACATTTCGATGCTATCCTGCCGGGTAGGTCTCTCCACGTTAATGCCGCCGTCAATGCATCGAGCCCTTTAATCTAATCAACTCAACTATGAATAGAGCCGTTCTTCAACGCGGGCGGAGAGAGGGGGGACGAACCACCACAGCGAAACTAACAACAAACCATCTACTTCTATACTTAAAGAGTACAACGCAAGGAACAATGGGCGACGAGTAACACCATGCATCCTCCCGACCTCCCTTCCGAGCACGTGCTCACCACAGGCTTCAGCGCAACAACCCCAACAATGCAGTACAGCAATGACACACGCAGAACGCGCAAATTTTGCCACCCAACACACCTTCACGCCCCTCTTGGGCGTCTGCAGCATCTGCACCAGGCGAGTCATGAGCGGCTCCAGGAAGGGCATCACGGTCTCCGGCTCCAGGTTCTCCGTGAACATCTCCAGCACGTAGCAGGACACGCCCTGCGGCGCGCGAGAGAAGACGTAGTTGTTATTGTTAGCGCTGTTGTCTTCTCACATTAAACATCGTTCCGGTCTCTTGTGAGTACCTTCAAATATCCGTACCGGTCCAAACTGACGCAGATTGCCTTTCGTGGTCACAGGACAACTATAGACATTGTGGGCGGGAGAAATGTCCGTGTTATTGGTGTGTGTGGTTTTGCAGTCTTGCCCCGAAGTTTTTCCGGGGGTTACGGTATTTGTCTCTCTCACGAGACGCGGGTGCCGCTGCTGTCATTCACCCTTGTTCGGTTGTTTCAGCAATATGCGAGGAGCGCAAGAGCCTAGAAGGGGGGACCCGGATACGGATCTCGTTAGACCTGCCAGCGCGGAGTAAATGTAAAAAGAGACTGGCTGTCGTCTTGACATCTCATATTGCCCGCCTCGAAAACATCGGCGTCCGGCGTGACGGCAGGTACACATACGCACGTCAACCATCGCTCCGCTCTCCCAAGCGCATCTTCGCCGTCGTAAGCACACGCACAACAGCAGCCCCAACACACAAGGCGTCTACTTGCAACCTTCCTCCCTCAAGTCCGCCACCGCACCGCCCGAACACCAGCCGCCGTTTTCTTGCAAACCTGCCTCCCTCAAGCCCACCATCGCACAGACCGAACCGAGTCCGCCTTTATACCTGCAAACCTCAAAGACCTTCCTCTTCAACCCCACCAATGGATCGCACACCTTGACGTTGTCGGTGGCGTCGTCGAGCAGGCGGAACACGATCGGCAGCACCTCCTCCGAGTGGTCCAGTATCTCGGGCTGGCAGTGCTCCGCGAACTGGCCCAGGCAGAAGCACGAGCACTCGCGGACGTGGGGGCTCTCGTCCAGCGCCAGCTGCGCTTATTTTTCGCACGCGGACATGGCCGTGTTCGTTCGCGCCGACGCCACCACCGTACACAGGCAGTCGAAACAAGCCGCGATCCAGCACCACAGTACCAACGGCGTCGATTGGAAAAGATGGTGACGGTAGGTAGACAGAGCCGTTCATGAGAACAGGACGTGCCAAGCAGAGGGAGGAGAGACGATGGTGGGGGAACATAAACCGGGCGGAGAGCCGAAAACGCTTCAGCTGTCGAGCAAAAAATCGGGGGCTAGAGCAAGCGGGAGACTTAAGGCCGGCTTGCAGGCAAACTCGGGGCTCCGCCTACTTAACCCCGTACTGGACAACAACCATGCCTCACAAACTACGCGGACGTTCTACACACCACGAACAGCAGTCCCGCCGGACGCTCGCAACCCGACACAGAAAAACGACTTCACCACAAAAAAAACGGGCTGCACCCGAATCATCAGAAGCGCAACTCTCTTCCCTCTGCCCCTCGCCTCTGGTGTGTGTTCTGTCTGTATGGGTTATGTATGGGTTATGTGCATTGGTGGTCTCTGACCTTATCTCTGACTTGAATCTCATCTCTGCGAAGGGCACACAACCTCTCAACCTCAACAAACGAGAGGGCCAGCCCTGCAAATAAACCATGCCCTACCTGCCCTTTCGAACAAACCGGACAGAAAAACAGCGCCCCTCGGTGCAGACCCGTGTCCCCTCTAGCCAATCAAAATCAGCCAGGTGCACCTTCTACACTATCCACCAAAAGATGCAACACAAAAGGATCGCAGAAACACAGGGTTGGTAATCACGCACCGCTATGAATCCAATGCCAATCAATCCGAGTCTATCGTCTGTGGAAGAGAATAATTCATTGTGTACTACACAAAGTCCAACCATGCCACACACACACAACAGACCTGAAGGATTTTGGGCAGGATGTCCGTGAGGCGCGCCTTGATGGGCTCGGCGCACCCCTCCGACATCACCCCAAGTGACGCCACGGCCGCCTTGCGCATGTGCGGCTCGGGGCTTCCGAGGAATGAGTTGCACAGGTCCATGAGCGGGCCAAACGTGTGCTTGGTAGGCAGCTGGAGGGCCATCGAGTCCAGGCAGGCTTGCGCGATCGACTGGGGATTTGGGCTGTTTGTTGTCGTGCCGGTGCCACCAAGGGTGAAGGGGGAGACAAGAACCAAACGAGCCAAAAAAGGAGGAAAAGAGGTGGACGAACGAAGCATAAGATTGGTAGATGGACAGGCAGGTCCAGGAGGACGCCGGACCGAAGGACGGACGGAGGGATGCACATCACGGAAGAGAGAGAGAGAGAGAGAGAGAGAGAGAGAGAGAGAACACAGAATCAAGAGAGGTAACAGGAACGGCAAGTCTTGGTGGTGCAATCATATCATCTGCTGTGTAGCGTCATCACCGGCCCGGGAGGGGCGAGGGCGGTGCCACTGCAAAAGCTTGTGAGACACAGATGCGGCTGCAATAACCCCCACCTTCCCACCCTCTCCCCCCGCCCACAACCGCCTCAACCCCTCCCCCCCCCCCCAAAGCAAAAACGGCGACAGCAGCACAAACCCCATAGGTTACCCCAAAAACCCACACAAGAAAACGAGCGCCTTACACCGCCAGCCAGTAGAGCAAGCTACACGAGAGAGCAAACTAAGTAACAGACTGACCCGTCGTAGTCCTCGTCGTCGTCGTCGTCCTCGTCGTCATCCAGCGCCTGGTAGTTGAACAACGCGTTCGCCGCGGAGCCCTTGTACTCGGCGATGAGATTCATCAACACCTGAAGGATCTGCGGCACCTTGTTGGTCTTGACGACCAGCTTAGGCTTCGCCTCGGCCAGCTGCGTCAGCACCTGGGGAAAGAACGTAGTGTAGGCGCGAGTGCGCGCGCGTGTGTGGTCTTGAAGAAGGTAGTTCGTAGTATCGACCTTGATAAACGGCTAAATAGTAGTGACGACTAACTTTTTTACGTCTATCCTCACGTCCTATCCGCGGGGTCTCCCACAGGGGAGGTGCGGAGGAGATCAGCAAAAAAAAAAAAAGGATCCACAGGCGAAACAAACCAAGCGTAAACCAAAGAAACGTAAACAAGGCCAAAAACAACCCCGGCCGCTCGCCATTCCAAAAAAAAAGAAGTACTTCTCACCAGCGCCGAAGAATCCTTCAGGTTCACCTCCGTTTCCGCGTCCCCAAGAATATGCAGCAGGAAGTCAATTATCTCGTCAGCGTGCGCGTTGATCAGCGGCAGAGGGCTCTGTGATGACGGCAGCAGAGAAAGTGAACGCGAAGGCGGCCGGCCCGTGGAGTCGAGAGGTTCAGTGGCTCATCCAACAATTGTGCATGTATGGCATTCGAGTCAACGCAAACTTACACACAAAAAAAAACGCGATGATAATGATGATGCATCCAAAAGAAAACCGAATAAAAAAACGATCACGAAAAACGGGGAGTGTCGTTCGTGTGTGCGACCTGAGCGGGACACGGAGGCAGTGCCAGCGATCATGAACAACCACGCGCGCGCGCGCGCGGACACCATGAGACTCAACAAGCCATCGCCCTCCTCAGCAAAGCAGGGCCAGTCGGTGGCGGAACTGACTCGCGCACAGAAAAGTGATTTCGAAACGACGACAAGTAAGACCGGGTGCCGAACCGAAAAAAATGCGGCCACAACCCGGTTCCAACCCGCTTCTGTACGGGGACAACAAATGGTCCCACGGAAGCACAAGAAATGTTCGGGGAGGGAGGGAGGGAGGGAGGGAGGGAGGGAGGGAGGAGAGGAGAGGAGAGGACCGCGGTGCGGGACATTGGACAGAAAAAGACAGACGTTCACGACTCACGCTGCACAGGTCCGCGAAAACCTCGAGAGTTACCGCCACCGTCTGATCGTCCCCCCTCAGCAAGCACCCTTTCGCCACCTGAATAAAAACGAAAAAACGACGAAAGTGGCGTGAGCGAGTACAGGGTTGCTGGGGAGAGCACCGACCGAGATAGCAGTCCGAGCATCGTGCAACGAACTAACACAGCACGGACAGGGCTGGGGAAGCGACCGCGTGTGGAGGAAAACGATGGCAGGGGGGGGGTCGCGCGCTGGCGTTGGACTCAAGACGCGAAACAGAGACTGACCGATCGACAACCACACGGGTACGTCCAAGGCCACTCAGGCGCCCCAAACATGGGGATAAGGCGAGCGGCGTAGAACAACGTTCTTGTACTGCAGGATAGCAGACCACCACTGGTCACACTTCGTTCGAACCCGGTTGGGAACAAAGACAAAATCAACACATCGATGGTTTCACCGCGATGGCACTGGGGGATGTGTGAAGGTCAAACGTAGCAAACATGACCCCCGTCAAGCACACGAGAGACAACGCGAACGTACAGCGATTGAACACTACACTAGCGAGTGCCAGGCACCACCGAAACCAACCTGTAGGCAGGGCTGCACGAGAGAGCGGAACTTCATGCCCGCGTCATCCATAGACAGGTACGCCAGTAGAGCCGAGCACGCCTTGAGCGCCGAGACCTGCACCTTCGGACTGAAACCAGAAATGCAAGCCACGTAGACCAAAGCAGACAAATGCGACACCAGGATTTCAAGCAAACGCGGGGCACGAGTGCGGTTACGAGGCTGGGATGGGGAGGAGGTGTGGGGGGGGGCAAGACTGCGCCATTTCTAAAATGATGCGTTTCCTGGGGCTCGGCAAAGAGTATCGGCAGCGCTTGCATTGAACAAGAAAACGGGGTGGGGGCGGCGGCGTGAGGAATAAACTGCTTACGCCATCGCCGATTGCTCGAGCCAACCTACAAAAGCATGCCACTATCCGCTTGCTCGCTGGGCCAACGACAAGCCTCTGCTTTGTCTTCGGCGTGTTGCTCCCAACGCCGTTCGCTTCCCAATCAAGCTGCCAACATGTTCTCGATATCGTTCCACAAAAAGATGGTACATCGTTCCACCCCAAAAGTCAAAACAACGACAAGCACGCACACATCGAAAAAAAAAGAAGAGAGAAAACACGCACACACACACAAAGCCGGGGATCGAGCGAGACGGCGAAACAACACGGCCGGACTCTACTGCTGTCCATACACCACACCAAATAGAGAGCTTAAACCCCTTCGAGTGCGGCTAGACTTCTCGTTGCGGCTCCGCCTGGCCCGAGAGTAGTCGAGCGGAAAGAGAAAAGCTAGGCATTTCGTATGCCGACGGAACGTGCACGCATCACACCAACAGGTGCGTCTCGTACTTGCAACCTCGAGAGCCGGCACCAGTACCTAGAGCAGCCACCGTTACCGCTAAAGCATCTGCCTGCCACGTAACGGCTCTTGTTTTCATCTCCCCTCTCCCTCACTTTTTTCTCGAACCCAAAAGGGGCGTGAAGGTCGACGAAACGCACCTGGGGTCCTGGAGGGCCTGCAGAAAGAGCCCCTGGAGAACGTCGAAGTGTGCCGTCAGCACGTCGCCCACCGTCTCCGTCAGCTCGAACAAGATCACGAACGCCAGCTCCCGGTGGTCCTCCGACTGCGCGTGCTGCGCGCACTGCCCCACCAGATCCAAGAGCTTTTCTCGCGAAAGGGGTCCGTCGGCCATGATTTTATTCATGTTGGGCAGAGCAAGCCGGCCAAGCGGTACCGTGCGACGCGGGGGTTGGGTGCGTGGGACGCAAGGGGAGGAGGGGGGGGGGGGCACGGTGAAGTAAGAAGGCCCAGGAATTAATTCTTCCCTGGGACGGAAAGGAAGGGGGTACCTGGCGGGGGGGGGGGGGCCCCAGGGAAAAAGGGGGGG